GAGGGTGGAGATTTTTTCAAGTGATCTTAACTGTAGGGATTTGGAAACTTACGGCAAAAAGTCGTATCGGATGAAAGGACGGAAAGTGACCAGTGTTATGTAATCATATTTAATAACGTAAACGATTGCTAAGTGTTGTCTAATGTAAAGAGTTAAGTCACTCTACCCAGACTTTTATAAGAATTGGTTGTTTTTGAAAAAGTTAATAATTCTTCATTTAATACTATAAAAGTTATGACAAAACAATAAATATCTACAACAAAATTTAGAAAATTAGAACATAATTTTCTTACACAGCTGAAACAGAATTTTTGTACTCGCACTGCCCAAGTGAACATTTAACAATTTCTTAAAATGCATTAGCCAATGCCAAGAAAGTCGAAATGAAAACCGTTATGAATGCTGGAACCAACAAGGACATTAACCCATGAGATACAGCATGCGCCAGAAGTATCAAGATTTAATCTTGAACGTCCATATGCGTTAGTCAGCTGCGCCTTGTTGAAGCCGCCATATTATCCTAGTATTGATATGCCCCCCACATATCCACCTTAGCTACGCCTCTGTCAGCTTTTTCTCACACCCCCCCCCAAAATAAAAATCTGAAAATTTAATCTTGAACGTCCATATGCGTTAGTCAGCTGCACCTTGTTGAAGCCGCCATATTATCCTAGTATTGATATGCCCCCCACATATCCACCTTAGCTACGCCTCTGTCAGCTTTTTCTCACACCCCCCCCCAAAATAAAAAATCTGAAATCCCCCCCCCCTCCCCGGTGGAAATCGTCTGAAAGAAACACTCACTGCATGTTTGTGTTCTCAGACAAGGATCCCGGTTTCACTATTTGACATCAATCATTCAAGGACTACCCATCGATCTGATGAAACTAATAACTGAGAAAATTTAGAAAGTTGTTGTTAGAAGTGTTGTACCGCTTCTCAAATTCAAATAAGGATATCCGATATTCTAGGAGTTTTAATAAAAACACTACGCAGTGATATTAAAAAAAAAAAAAAAAAACTCATCGAAGGTCTACATTTTATAAAAAAAAAATTGTTAATGTTAGTATTTAAATTTTTACTTGATGCACGGATTTCTCAAAAAAATCTTCTGTTTCGTATTTTTTTAGTTTGAACAAAATTCCTTTGGTACATACTGCCTTTTGAACAGGTCACCCTATTTCTCACTCTCAAGTCTGAAAACTAACATTTATTTTCACAAACACACACACACAAACACATATATACACACACACATACACAAACACACAGAGGTATCGAAACAAATTTCGTCCGAACAAATTAACATTTGAACGCATTTCCATTCCCACATTTCCCTTTCCAACTTTTAGATTTAACAATATTTTCAACGAAAAATTTGGTTTTTAGCTTTCAAATTGAACAAAATTCAGTTCGACCGAATTTCCGTTCGATCATATTTCCATTCGAACAAACCCCCGTTTGACCAAACCTCCGTTCCACCAAACTTCCGTTGATCAATTTGTCTGTCGACTTAATTTCTTTCAAACAAATTCCCGGTAATGACTTAAAAAAGAGAAACCGTAGTATTGTTTGTGTTTGTGTGAGAATAAGAAACTATCCCGAGCACTGTACATTATAAGGTCTTTTTTTGTTTTGTTTAAATATGTATCTCTATCTTATTGACACCTTAACAAACACACACATCATCTTACAATTTTGGAAATTCTCTCGTGAACCCTGGCATATTGTCAGGCTGGCACCGAGCGTCTCGTGGCCCAAATGCTTTGAACCCTTTTTGAAACATTAGTTTATTTTTTTTTAAAAATCTGAATGAAGAAATAACACAAAAATTCTATATCGATTAATACCAAGTCTTAAAATTCAAAACTCTTCTGTACTTATTTTGAAAAGCCACCTGGCATAGCATTTCGTGTAGGAGCACCCTAGGTTGGGAAAAACCTGCTCGAGACCTTCATGCTGTTAGATTGATACACAGATGGCCGAGATAAATTGGGGATATAAAATAAGATAAACCGCTGTGAACCGAGAACACGGCAAAAAATGGTGTAATAATGATTCAAAGTGGAAATAAGTCAATATTTTAAGTTTAAAGAACTTTAAAATTATAAGTTTGATATTATCCCCTTAAAAACATTTGTATCCATTTTATTATTGCATTTTTCCCCTTCCCGAAACAAAGGCAATGTAAAAACAAAGATTATAACTTGGTAAAACACTTTGTTATGTAAGCGCTTTTAATTAGCTTGGCACAAAAATTGATTATAAAAACAATCCATACAATAATTTGATTACTTAATTACTTCTAATACATTGCTAGCACTTAATAATAATTTACATAATATTATTCAAATGAATGATATTTTGTGATCAGATAACATCACTTGTAAACTCGTAACATTTTTTGACCTGTTGGTTTTTATTCCTCGGCTTATTAATCTATTTCAGCTATCTGAACAATCATGTGGAATTGGTTGCGTCCTTCAATTTATAGACAATCGTAAAGTACATTCCATCCTTAGAAAATGGTACGGTCCATGCCATCATTAGAGTAAAAGATGACTTCCATCTCAGAGTTTTGTGCTATCAATAACATTGTAACAGTGGGTGAGGCTATGTGTACTGTACGTGGAGTAGTCATTGATATCCATAGAATCTAAGATATGCTATAAATAAAATTATGACAGTGGGTGGAGCTGTCCGTAGAGTACACGGAAAAGTTGGTGATATCCATAGAATTTTATGTATGCTACAAATACAACTATAACAGTTGGTGATGCTATCCGTCCTGTATTTCGAAAAGGTGAAATAAAAATAGACGATATTCATAGAAATATAAATCTATAATTAGTGGGGGGGGGGGTATAATTTTGGGGGGAACTCTAGCTTTTGAAATGTGACAGACGTTAAACAAGCATTTAAATTGACAGACGCTAAACATGCATTGAAATGTGACAGACGCTAAACATGCTTTGAAATGTGACAGACGCTAAACATGCATTGAAATGTCACAGACGCTAAACATGCATTGAAATGTGACAGACGCTAAACATGCATTGAAATGTGACAGACGCTAAACATGCTTTGAAATGTGACAGACGCTAAACATGCATTGAAATGTGACAGACGCTAAACATGCTTTGAAAAATGACAGACGCTAAACATGCATTGAAATGTGACAGACGCTAAACATGCTTTGAAATGTGACAGACGCTAAACATGCATTGAAATGTGACAGACGCTAAACATGCTTTGAAATGTGACAGACGCTAAACATGCATTGAAATGTGACAGACGCTAAACATGCATTGAAATGTGACAGACGCTAAACATGCTTTGAAATGTGACAGATGCTAAACATGCTTTGAAATGTGACAGATGCTAAACATGCATTAAAATATGATAGATGCTAAACATGCATTAAAATATGATAGATGCTAGCATGCATTGAAATGTGACACACGCTAAACATGCATAGAAATGTAAAAAAGTGAAGTGTATAAACTAGCAGCATTTTTATCATTATGAACATATGGTGAGCATTTGTCTTTTTTTCTGTTATTATGAACATATGGTGAGATTTTGCCATTTTCCTATCTTTATGAGCATATCATGAGAATACTTTTTCATTTCATTTTCCTTTTCCGAACTGTCAATTTTAATTTATCAAATGATCAGCTAAAGAAAATTGTTCTTTTTATCTTTATTTTTTCTCCCCCGTTCTAAACTGAGTTGAGTAGCCAAGGGTCAGACCCGAGTCTTAGCAAACCTGTGAACTGGGGCAAACCTAGACCCGCCTTACAAAGACATGTTTTGGTGATGTGCCGACCCCTCGTGTCAGATTGATGCATAATTTCCATTGTATAAGTGTTTCCATGGATGGGATCAACACAGATCTATTAAACAAAAACAAAAAAACAAAAACAAATGACGCGGAATACTCCTTTGGGCTCTATTTTGATTACGGTGGTTAAAGACGTCACGTCATCCCTGCTAATCTGTACTTCAGGTAAAGGCGTTTTTTTTAAAAAAAAAAGCAATTAACTTAAATATTACTCTCAGAATATTACTCGACAGTGGCGTTGCTGTGGTTAGTGCATCCCAAGGTGGGCCAAGATTTTTTGCTATGAAAAAAAAACAAAAAAAAAACACTTCAGAAAAAAGAACCCCTTAATCCAAAGAAAATAGCGCCACTTTCCAGCCACCCCATTCTTTCACCACTAACAACAGTGACACATTGACAACGTCTAATTTTCTTATGATTCTATAGATTTGAAACTAATTCATCTCCAGTGGATCTGTCCTAGAATTTTTCTTAGATTAATTATATTTAAATAATGTTCCTAATTGTTGCCTTCTAACAGATCTACCTACTGTTTATATATATATATATATATATATATATATATATATATATATATATAT